AGGGAGTTAATGTATCTTGCCAACAATTCTCGACCAGATATAGCTTTCTCAATAAGCTTGCTACCAAAATCCGACTAGTCGTGATGGAACCTAACCCAACCTGCTAGTTAAGCCGATTAACAATTATCCATTTTCCAATTAATTAATAAAACAATTTAATAAACGAAATTATCTAAAACTTATACATTTCCCAAGGATTGGTAGTACAAATCATGAGTTCTAAGAATAGAGTTTACAAAGCTGATATCAAGTAAATACATCTTCTGTTTGAAAGGTAGATAAACAGAGTTTTATAAATCTAAGGCTACCATGAACAAGAGGCAGCTACAGCAGAGACGCAGGCCCACATTCAAATCCAGCAACCATCGAACACAGCAACAACAACAGCCAACATCTGCACGCAATTCAAGCCACATTCAAGAAAATGTTAAGCTTGTATTTTCCTAGATGACTTGCACACGACCGTCTTTTTTTCGATTGAAGAGTCGGACTCCCTGACATTGCCTTTGCCTCCCAAGGAGGAAGAAGGTCTATGCCAAAAGACAAAAGGGTGCTGCATGTATAAGTCCAAAAGAGCTATGATGACTCTCGAAATGGAATTGGAAGAGCAAGACAGGCTAGGGCTGGCACATGGACGAAACTTTAATACAATATATATTACGAGCAAAGATTCTAAATGCATAGAAAATATAAAGCTTCTAAGAACAATTCTAGAATAATTGCATAATAGCAGTTTATGAATATTCCAAAAGAAATTGTTTTCTTTTCCTTTCTTATAAAAAAAATACTTCACTTTATACTTCGGGAGTTCCAACTATCCTGACTTATTTATGTCTTAGTCATCGTGTGATCGGCACGGGTTCGATCCGAACCTGATCGAATAGGCCCAATCCACGAGGTTCCACTTGCTTCATGGTTCTCAGCGCTCATGTATCATACCTTAGCCTGGCTAAGTAAATTCTCAGCAACGAGACCCTTGGCTCTTGTGCTCCCTACTTTGGCACAAGTAGTTTCAGGAAGTCAAGGCCTTGGTCAGGATCCTCGGCCTGGACAATTACCCCTTCTCAGAATAGAGGATACTCCCAAAATTTTTTTCTTTCTAAAATTTCTTCTTGTGACTTTTCAAGTCTAAATCTTTTATGAAACATCCTATACATACACATACTGGTATCCTTAAGTATAAAGCATGGCATAAGAATGAAATAAACATTCGAAAGTATTTCTAAAGATTCTTGCTTCTTCATGAATTTTTCAATATGAAAATGGCATATAACAATAACACAAAATCTGAAAATTTATGCACATATATCATAATTAATCATCTAAACTTTAGCTAGAACAATTCTAAGTTAATAGGTACTCACTCGCTCCAATTAAGTACATATTAACTCTTTTAAGCAATTCATCAAATACCTTGTATGTGTGCTTATGTGAGTTAAACCACTTTAGTAAAGAGTTATATCAACTCACCTCAAAACTCCTCGAGCCAATGCGTAGGCCCCAGTCCAATTTATACCCGTCAAAAAATTGATTCTACAACAACCAGTGCATTTTAATTAAATTCAAAGTTTCACACCTAAACATGGAATTTAATGTTTATATAGAGAAAGAATGGAATTAACTATCCAATTCTTACCTACTACTACTATAGGATTAGTTATTTGTAAATAACCCTAAAATTTTCGTTACCTGCGTGTGTAAGCTCCGTAGCCTTTGTGCTTGCCGGGTGAACAGAATATTTGAAATAAGGCTTTATAGCCTTCCGCCTTTGTGTGAATGAACAGAAGTCTGTTTGTTCGTATAAGGCTTTTAAGCCTCGAGGCCTTTTTAATTCTAATTGGTTTAAGTTATTAAGCCTTTTGCAAGCTTGTCCTCTTTTTTTTTTTTTTTTTTTTTTTTTTTTTTTAAACTTAAGTAATAATTAATGATATCTACTTTTAATAACTAACAATATTAAAATTATTAATATTCCCCTAATTGTATATCCAATTTTATATATATATATATATATATATATATATTTGTTGCATAATTTGGCCTTAAACCAAATACATTAATATTCATAACTTGATATAAGCATGTTCCTCGATTTCATTACTTACCTACAATATTTTTGTCACCCTTAAGATGCAAAATTTATTTAATCCTTGTTCTATCACATTTCAACTTGGATCTTAAGAGCTCGTTGGCCAAGCTGCCAAAAACTACTTATTTTGAAAAGCGCTTTTATTCAAAAGTGCTTTATGAAAAAGTACTTTTGCAAAATAATCAATCTGTGTTTGGCCGATTTGTTTGAGTAGTGCTTTTTGCAAGCTCATTGTGTTTGGCCAATCTTTTAAAAAATTTTAATTATCAAATTATGAAAAAGGACAGTAAAGGTTCAATTTGCGATTAGTGTTATTTAGAAAAGAAAAATAAACTTAAACATTTTTTAGAAAAAAATTCCATTAAAATATAAAATGTAAAGTAAAATTATAAATTAAAAATTCTCATTAATATAATATAGTTNGATATGCTAACAGAGAGTAGAGGAGGAGGAGTTTGGGATCCACAATGACCTACATGAAAGAGAGAGCTTCCTTGATGAATAAAGTCAACTCTTGATGCTACGATAATTTAAATATGTCAAAATACATCATTCAATATAAATTTAAAATCTACTATTAGGAATAGGAGAAAGAGAATAAAAATGTAATTAAAATAAAAAAGAGAATAAATGTATAGCAGAAATAAAATAAAAAAGAAAAGGAAAAAGAAAAGAAAAATTAAACTAATGAGGGATAATTTAAAAAATATAAATTTACTGTAAGGTTACTTTTATCTTGAATAAATTAACTTTCTGCTTCTGCTTCTGCTTTTTGGAAGAAGCTAGAATTTTTAGCTTCTCTGCTTCTGTTTTTTCTGCTTCTGTTGCTGCTCAAAAATACTTTTTCATTTTAGCCAAGCACCTTAAATTTTTCAAAAAGTACTTTTTTGACCCAAAAAATTACTTTTAACCTCCTAGACTATTGGCCAAACGGGCTCTAAGACCACCATTAAAATTTACTTAGTGTTTTCCCACTTATTGCAACTCCCGAATACTAATTTAGACACCCACAGTATTTAAAAGCTTAGCATCTCATTTTATAACACTATACCTCCTCAAGGCATAGCATCCTACTTTTGTAACTCTTAAGGTTTCATCTTCATCTAATGCCTTAACCTTCATTCACTTATTCATCAAAAACTCACATATACCATACTCACACCTTCACATATATCATATTTGATTATTGATTTAAGTTCTTGTATCCTCCATATCTCCTGAAATGCTTAAGTTACCTTGCTTCAAGTTATTATCCCCTTCTTTAGACTAAGATTCCCCATTGTGAACTAAGTTAATTCATAATTCTATAACCCCCAAAAATGTTCCTCATTTTTTTATATATATTTTACCTTGAGAACATAAAGGAGTCATCCCCTTTTCAATTCCTGACTACTTTATCCTCTTGCTCATGCCTTATGCTTGATCTTCTTTATAATCAACACTACAATGACATACCATCATAATATTTCGCCCTAGTTTCGAATATACTCTCAAGTCTTATAACTTCTTTACAACATTTGAAAATTTTCTAATTAAAACTCATTTGGTCTAATAATATCTAAGCACAGTATGATAAAATTCATTACATTAAAATATACTTGCACCAATGCGTCGGTTGGGTTCTATCTTGGTAAGTGCATATCATAAATTAAGCTATAGTGCTATACTATAACCAAAGCCTCACCACGTATCGTAATAAAACAAATAATATAATATAAGTAACCACCACCACTAATCTCACGTTATGAGCAAGGTCCAAAATAGAATACAGTGCAAAGTTCTTGAGTTGGTCTCAAAATAGAATGATGAGGAGCTTACTACTAAAAAATTCTATGGTCCTCATTTGACAAATAAAATATACTCCAGTATTAGATTTTCCAAAAGGTACTCCCTGCGTTGCAGTTTACGTGAACCTATTTTCTTTTTGGTCCGTTCCAAAAAGAATGACCTCTTTCTAAATTTGGAGACAATTTAGCTTAAACTTACAATTCTACCCTTAATGAGAAGTTTTTATAACCACACAAATACTCTGTGCCCCTATTTGACTTGTTTAAGACCACAAATTCCACAAGTTTTCATTTTTTCTTAGATTCCGTGCCCATTCAAACAGGTTCACATAAATTGGAACGGAGGGAGTAACTAATAAGTAAGGCAAGAAGGAAAGAATATACGTGTTAATACCTTAAATTTTGAATGTAACACTCAAATAGGCTTCTCTGTACTTACAAACAATAACAACAACCACCAACTATAATCCCATTAGTGGGGTCTGGTGAAGGTAGTGTGTACGCAAACCTTACCCCCACCCTAGGATAGAGAAGCTGTTTCCAATAGACCCTCGACATCCCTCCCTCAAAGAAATCCCACCTTGCTCTTGGGGTGACTCGAACTCACAACCTCTTGGTTGGAAGTGGAGGGTGCTCAGCACTAAAGCAACCCACTCTTGTCCAAGGCTTCTCTGTACTTGCTGCTACGAAATATCCCCAAATCTCATTACCTCTTTGTCAATACCTAAGGACGTAGCTATCTCATTCTTCACCTAACAAATCAACGGCACTCAGCTACATACTTCTACCCAACACTATCTCATCTTTTAGCTACTACATCCCCTTTTTTTCTTGGTTGAGGGTGTGACTATCGCTTTGGAAACCTTATCCATCTTAAGGTATACCAAGATTTCGGCAAAACTTCACCTGTAATTAGGACAAGGCCATTTTCCTTATACATGTGTCAGAAACATCAACAACCACACCCTACAATCATCATATATACACCAAACACCTACTATTGACTTCCAAGCGACTTTGCATCATCCATCACACTATACATTACAACCAATGTGCACTTCATAGTACCAATGTTAACTTGTTTAGCAGCTGCATCACAAGTCTATGATATTTTTGCGAGGCATGAGTAACGAATATGTCAAAATGATCTTAAAGAGAAGTTCAAGCTCTACAGTACAATATAAGAGTAGGAAACACCTATAATGTCCTGGAGTCGTTCATCAATATAGTTGGCCAGTCTGCATCAAGAGTACCTCGGTAGAAACAGCTCCACATACAATCCAAGGTTACTTCTAATCCTAGAGCTCTGTTACCAAGCTTGTTACCCCCCAAATCCGACGTTGGCGCAATAGGCATCTGATGCTAAGGAACCGCACCGAAAGCACCTTATAAGATGGATGTTACGACACTTGCCCCTTATTTAGTTGAAAAATCATTAAACATTAAGCATAATAAAATTACGTCTAAATACATTAATCTTAGTTAAATTTAATAATTCAAAAATCTTGAAAACAAGTTAAGCAATGACTTGCACAATACTTCTCACAGTATGACCATTGTTAATGGAGCTTATAAGAAAAAAAATATTACTCAGGACACAACGTGAAACTATTAAGAATTAGTAAATGACTCATAGGAGCCCCACGAACAAGGATGTGGGTTCACCAACAACTTGAAAGCAACAAGTACTCCTAGCCCACTCGATCTGCCTGTACCTGCTCTACTTTGTTGCCTAACATAGCATCAAAAACAATAGTAGTATGTCCAAGTACTACTCGTGCTTAGTGAATGTCAAGGAGCAAGTTCTCATATAAATAAAGTAAGTACAGAGTATAGAATGAAACAGTAATAATGAAACAAATAAGTGCAGTAAATCAAGTGCTCAGCAAAAATCAACGATAATGAGATACTAGGCTTCCAATTCATCATGTTCAGATATCATATCATGCCCATACATGCCCAAATAAATCGCTGCCAATCAAGGCTCATGTCGTTGCCCATACATGACTGGATAAATAGCCGTCAATCAAGGCTCGCGTCTTTGCCGATACAGGTCTGGTACCATTGCCAACCAAGGCTCAATTCCATTATCCATACAGGCCCAAGTAAATCGCCCATACAGGCCCAAACAGATTTCCCATACAAGTCCAAACAAGTTTTGTGTTTATCATGTGTGTCTTTTTATTAATCATGGTATAGTAGCTGATTCGTTCATGTTCATTATTTCTTTATCAAGTAAATCTCGAGAATTCGTGCTTTAGTTCACAAAATCATACAAATATCAATAGTTGGAAGATACGTTTCGATTCAAGCAAATCACATTCATAAGCAACAACAAACAACAACAACCCAGTAGGATCCCACTAGTGGGGTCTGAGGAGGGTAGAGTGTACGCAGACCTTACCCCTACCCCGAAGGGATAGGAGGCTGTTTATGGGAGACCCTCGACTTAGAGACAATAGATCCGTAAAAATAACAGAAACCTGATAAATAGAATCAGCATCGTAAAAGATAATAAATAAATAGAAAGGCCAAAATGTGAAAGACATTAAAAATGTGAAACACAAACAAAACCGCTAGCACTCCTAGACAAAACACTATCAGACTAGCCGGCATAATGAGGAGAAACGCTCGACTGCCCCCTAGCCTACAACCCTAATGCTCGTCCTCCATACATTCCTATCAAGGGCCATATCCTCGGAAATCTGAAGTCACGCCATGTCCTGCCTGATCCCCTCACCCCAATACTTCTTAGGCCGCCCTCTAACTCCTCTCGTACTCGCCAGGAACAACCGCTCACACCTCCTAACCGGAGCATCTAGGCTCCTCCTCTGCACGTGCCCGAACCATCTAAGCCTCGCTTCCCGCATCTTGTCATCCAAAGGAGCCATGCGCACCTTCTCCCGAATGTCCTTATTCCTAGTCGTATCCATCCTAGTGTGCCCGTACATCCATCTCAACATCCTCATTTCTGCTACTTTCATCTTCTGGATATGTGAAATCTTGACTGGCCAACACTCAGCCCCATACAACATGGCTGGTCTAACCGCTCTATAGAACTTACTTTTAAGTTTCGGTGGCATATTCTTGCCACACAGGACTCCATACGCTAACCTCCATTTCATCCACCCCCACCCCGATACGGTGCGTGACATCCCCGTCGATCTCCCCATCTCCCTGGATAATAGACCCTAGGTATTTGAAACCCTCTCTCTTAGGGATGACTTGTGAATCGATCCGCACTTCCACGTCCGCTTCCCCCGACACGTCACTAAACTTACACTCCAAATATTCCGTCTTGGTCTTGAAACCTTTGGACTCCAGAGTCTGCCTCCATACCTCTAGTCTCTCGTTAACGCCGCCTCGCGTCTCATCAATCAACTATATCGTCAGCGAACATCATATACCATGGCACCTCCCCTTGAATATGGTGTGTCAGTACGTCCAACGCCAGAGCAAATAAGAACGTACCGAGCGCAGATCCTTTATGTAACCCCATAACCACCGGGAAAGGCTCTAAGTCCCCTCTCATAGTCCTAACCCGAGTCTTAGCTCTATCGTACATATCTTTTATCGCCCACCTTTCACCTCCAGGCATCTCCAATGAACGTCCCTAGGGATCTTTTCGTACGCCTTCTCTAGGTCATAAACACCATGTAAATCCCTCTTCCTATCCCTGTACTGTTCCACCAATAGCTTCCGTAGTAGAACGACCCGGCATGAACCCAAATTGGTTCTCTGATATAGACACTGCCCTTCTTACCCTCCCTTCCACTACCCTCTCCGAAACTTTCATGGTATGAACGTTCATAAGCGTTATGTTAATTCAAGTTCAATAACCCATGAATAGCATGTATCATATATTCATACACCTTTGTAATGAAAAAGTAGGTTCAAGGAGACATACCTTAAATCCTGCCAAATTAATTCAAACGAAATCTCTAATGCTCGAGCAGTTACCCTACATAAAGGGGAGTGATAAAGATGAATACTTTATCAAAATTCTAGATTTCTATCTCTTTTCCCAAAAACTAGATTTTCATACCCAGAACTACGTTCATCATGATTTTTTTAGATCAATACCAAAACGAAATTGATGATGAGAATCTCCCATTCACCTTTCCCAATCAATTATAATTGCTAAGAAAGGTTAAAGTTCTTACCGTTGAAGAGAGTCAAAAAATTCCACCTTAATTGCCCTTTGTTGGAATTCTCAATAATTTAGGAATTTGGAAGAAGAATTGGTGTTAATCATTGTTAGTTTGATGTAATAATCAATGGAATCGAGTAGGAACTCACCTTGTATTATTTGGGGAAACTCTAGGGTATTTTTCTCCTGAAAAAGTTGGCCAAAACGAAATAGGATCTGAAATCCCGAAAATTCTTGTATTTATATATTACTATCAATTTTGACGCGCGGCCACAACATACGGTGTGTATGTTGGACATACGGTCCGTATGTTGGTCGTACGTCAACTTGTTAAGCCTACAGTGGTGTATATACATTTGATATACCTCCGATATACATTTTGTATATATCTTGTATATTGAATATACGGCTCGTATATTGAAATTGTCGCCCATGTATGGCCTCTGTATGCCAAGTTTAGATATTTTAAATTTTCAATACTTTTGGTGCTTTTACCTATGATACCACAGAGAGTCCCTATGTCCAACATGCGACCCGTAAGTGGTCATAGTATGCAAACTCCTGAGACCTTGAAATATAGAGAAATTTTCATAAAGCACTATCTTTTAGTAGTAATTAGTCATCTATAGATACCATTTGTTATATTACGGATTATAAATACCTTTTCTGTGGTTATAAGATGTATTTGATGTATTTAAGTTATTGTATTCATGAATACAGTAGCAAAAATATGCATGAATCAGGGAAGTCCTGCTAATCAGTTGTTGTATTCGAATGTATTCGACTGTATTCATGGAGTAAAATATGGAATTACAGCTGGATTGATTATTGTATTCGACTGTATTCACGGCGTGAAATAGGGGATTAAACTGTTTTTAAAATGGAAAGTGAATCAATTAACATAACAGACTCCTAATATAACTCAACAAACTCAATTATAACACACAAATTTTGTATTTTTCAGTTATAAAAAAGATTCTCAACCGAAAAATACCCCATAAACATAGCAATCTTCAGAGAAATTATATAATACATCTGAATACATAAATTATATTAATTATAAAAAACTTATGAATACATTCATGGCATATAACGAGACAGTGAATACAATGAAATACATAGAATACAGCGGGATACATTGAAATACAATGAGAAAAAAAGACACTGAATACAATGAAATACATGAAATACAACGAGATACATTGAATTACAATGAAAAAAAAGATAGTGAATATAATGAAATACATAGAAATACAGCGAGATACATTGAAATGCTCTTAAAAAAAAGTTAACAGAATCTTCAAATTGCTCAACCCCAAACTTCAGACGACCTATTTTAGTCGACGATTTTCTGACGACCCATCGGATTCCGACCATGATTCCATAAGCAGCGATGAGAGAAAGAAGAAGAAGAAAACGAGAAAGATCGCTGAAGAAGAAATTGCTAGCATCCGTAACGCATCTGAAGAAGTTAAAGTCCCAGAACTGAATTTGGTTAGCACCCGCTGGTAACGAATCGGAAGAAATTGCTAGCACCCACTGAAGACGAAATTGAGAAGAAGTTAAAGTCCCAAAAAATTCCTTGCCATGGAAAGGAAGAAGAAGAAGAAATGTATGTCTCATGTGCAGTCCGCATCCCATCATGTTTTCCCTGATTTTCAAACTTTGCTCTTTTTTATTCTTTTCGACTCTAATCCTTTTTGCATACTTAGCGCACGCTTGGAACTCAACTTTTCACATAGGAATACATATCAGTTACCATAATTCGTGTCTAACCATAAGAAATTTAATGATTTCAAACCTAGCCCGAATTTGCATGGTGTTACAGAAGGTCCATTCTATGCGGATTAGTTATGGTACTATGAGATACTTTGGCACATTGAGACATATGAGCGGATTGAGTTGTTATGGCACACGATTTATATGTAAAGATTTATTAGAGTATTATAATTAGACATGTTGCACGTCATAACCATATTATGTTGATATGTTATATCACGACTGATTTTTGTGTTGGCTCTGTATGGATCCATCCCTTGGAGTTAGATAACTATTGGGCCATGTGAGCGCATGTGATATACGTAACGTGTAGGAGCACGTGAATGTACTGCAACATGTTAGAGCAAATGGGATATGCTGGATATTGGTTATGATTAAGTCTTGAAGTATGCATTGACATCCCGGACGCATGTAGAGACATTCATGAATATCATCGACATACGCATATTCATGTATTTTACATATGCATAGGACATATTAATGGATTTCGGAATACTTGGAGAGTGTCGTACTGACCTACAAGTTAGATCGTCATTATGCATAAGCATCTCAGACTCATATAGGAGTATTCCTATAAATGTTATTTGAGAATTGATGTGTAATTGGGTCGTTATCATGCATGGACACTCTACATTCATGTAGAAGTATTTGACTTGAAACTACTTGTGCAAATTTCCTTTATATGCAGATTTGGTGCATTTATGTATGCTTCGATCTGGTTACTTGAAAAAAATATGCCTATTACCTTTTTCTTTGATTGTACACCTTATTATTGATATATGTTGTTTCTTGGCTATTTCTCCGTTATTGTATATGCTTATGAGATGTAGAGGTTATATAGAGTATCTTTCGTCTAAACTTTGCCACTACTTCGTTGAGTTTAATCTTGATACTTATTGAGTACTTGCGGTCAGTTATACTCATACTGCACTTCTGCACCTAATGTGCAAATTTTGAAGTTGAGCTGTTGTGGAAGTCGAAGGCCATCATTGAAGATGTGCCGGCGTTCCTATTACAAGCTACCAATTGTTCATTGTAGTATAGTTTATATAAACTCCAAACAGATAATGCATTTTGTTAACACCAACATTGTACTTATTAATTTTAGCGGCTCATGAGATTTACTATCAGTCCTTGGGGATATTTTTAATAAATTTTGTATTATTGTTATTTTATTATCTATTGATGATTTTCAGTTTCAGCTATGTTATATGTAGTTGGCTTAGCTAGCGGGTTGGTTTTGGTGTCATCACAACTTTGTAGGATTTTGGGTCATGACAAGTTGGTATCAGAGCTCTTGGTTCATAGGTTCTACGAGTCATGAGTAAATGTCTAGTAGAGTCTTGTGGATCAATATAATAATGTCTATACTCATCTTCAAGAGGCTATAGGACAGCTAGGAAACCTTTCTTTATTTCTCTCCTAGTTGTGCGACGTTTTTTCATCTTGAAGTCTAGATCTTCAATTCCTTTCTATTTATTTGTATTGAATGTTGAGAACTCGATATTAGTTGGGCACCGGTGGATTCTGATGATGTCGCAGAGGAGGTATGAGATACTTTCTTGTGATGTGAGGGTAGGAGTCTAAAGGACTTGCAGCTAGGTATGGACCGCAACTTTGGCTCGGGGGACTCAGGTAAGTGAGTATGTGATTTTGGACTCTTTTGTCCGATAATGTCCCTAGAAGTGGGAGTGATGGTACGGTTAGAGGTAAAATAATTATGTCTTCCCTAGTGGTTGTTTACATTTAAGTGGGCACTTCTACAACCTTGAAATGAAGTGGAGAAGATATTCCCAAAGTGAAGTGGCATAGTTACGAGACAGCTTTGTAATACATGTTATATGTCTAAGGGCTATACCTAGAGGGTTTTGAGGTAGCGAGAAAGATTTGCATGAGATGCAAGGAAAACATGGGAGCTTGATCATTATCTTCGGGTGTAATGCAGTCTTAACGTATTGATGTATCGCTGGACCTATTCATGATTAGGGTGGAATTGATTCTTATATCTTGTGGACGAGTGTAGACTCAGGAGGATCAATTGATTACATAAAGGTTGCAACCATGGATGTGTTACAGAAGGAGGTTGCATCGGGGATAAATAGGTAGGCTATCTCTTGTGAGAGGGTTCGAGGTTTTATGAGCTCTTCAGGGGTTCTTATGAAGAGTTATCTTCCATTCAGTGGAATGTATGTACTTCAACGAGTTTGGATCGCTTGAGGAAGATGGCATGACTATCCTAAGGATAAGTATGCATTTGGCGGATAGTTTAGAATGTGTTATGACTGGTGTTGCATGAGCTTATGAGAAATTTAGCTAAGTAAAAATGCAAGGTCATGGTAGTTAAAAAGAGCAGTTATTATAGATTCTCGGATGATGTGATTATGGATTTGAGCTAAGTGGGGGAGTCTACCATCAACGACCAGATCATATGGGCATGTGTTATTGTAGTTCCTAGAATAAGGCAAGCTTAGGGGCTAGTTATGACTTGGGTAAGGAATGTCACAACCCCAAATTCCCACCTTAGGATGTCGTGATGGCACCTAGTCTCTAAGACTAGTAAGCCTAAAATTCACTGATAGCTTAATAGAAATAACATATTAAGATAATAAAATAAACCAATAAAATTCATAATAACTCTAAAACGGAACATCTGTAACCAAATCCCGAAAACCGGTGGAACTGAGTCATAAGCTCTATAAAATGTACTAAAATCTCTAATAAAGCATTGTATGGGAATAGGATAAACATCAGTAAAGGAAATAACGGAAGGTGATTCCGAGACCTGCGAGCATCGAGCAGGTATACCTTGAAGTCTCTAGAAATGACTGAACAATCACTGGCGTCCGACACGAATAGAAGTACATAGATTTGCACAAGAATGTGCAGAACTGTAGCATGAGTACACAACAACGATACCCAATAAGTATCAAGCCTAACCTCGGTAAAGTAGTGATGAGGCCAGGTCAAGACACCTAATAGGACTAGAAAACTGAACAGAATATAGTATAGTCAAATAATGGAAAGTGAGGAAATGAATGACAATAAAGCAGTTCAATAAACTAAGCTAACAACGGAAGTTAAAGCAATAGAGGCAACAAGGAGTGAACACGTGATAAGAACAACAAGAAATAAATACGGACAAATACAAGTAAGGCAAATGAAGAGATAACAAAACTATTCAACGAACAAGCCTCTTTTACGTAGAATACAACACAAATAAAAAAATGAGGTGTCACACCTCACAATCTCATTTCATATGTCACAATCACAATCTTTTCTTATATCACCGCATGAGCCTTGCATTTATTTTTAAAAATATTTTCTAGAAATAGCTACACGACTTTTAGCCCCCTTATCTCACTGTGTGGCTTCAAGTAATTCTCTTACTAGCAACACGCATATAAATCCCACCTAATCTCACTACATGTGTATCAATCCCTATCCATATACCACCGCATGCGTATCAATATCACAGCACAATAATCAACTCGCACCACACGTGC